AAACGACTTTAAAGCTTGAGTAAGTCAAATCCATCATTACCTTTTCATGCCTTTCTGTTCTCACTTATGATGATGGGTTAGGATTGCAGCGATGGGCGCAGATTATGACAAAACGAATGAATCCCCTCGTAGCGCGGCCGCTGCTTTGAGAGGCTGAAACGATCTGCCGTGTCTCGCATGAATATTGTGAGAAGTCTGTTTGGATCCTTGTTTCTTCTTATTAAACTCACACCGTTTCCTCCCAGGTGGAGGCCTTTCTACAGTCTGCCTTTGCAGAGACGATGTGTGAAAGGTCCTGTTCAGTCTCGACCCGCTGGCTCAGTGAAAGTCGGGTGAACTTTGGGAGATGTGAAGAGTGATGGCCCTCGTGACATTCAAGTTTGATTAAGAGCGTAAATTAAAGTTCCAGTGGAAGACGCCGTGTCTGCCGTCGGCAGCTGGAGGCCTGCTGGCACCTCCGACTTCCTGTTCCAATACGTTTTATGGCTGATGAATATCGACTCTGAGACATCAGTCATGTCAGGTTCAGGTCCAAAACACCCCCGCCATCCCCCTGAGAGACTAAATACTGCTGGGACAGATAAACATATTTTCTGATTCTTCCAGCTGTTCAGAAATCTCTCGTTTCTGCTCTGACGTGAGGCCTTCAGAAAGCTTCACCTGAACACCATCATCTCACACCTGCAGAGCACTTTACTTCTTGTGATTTTCTCTTGGAGTCATACTGTGTTTGCTGGATCTCCTTCTGTGAGTGTTTTTGTGGTGACTGAAGGTCGTGTTAGTGCGATAGAAACCCCCCGGTCATTTCAGGCGTCTCGCGGGACGTTACAGGAGAACTCCACAGCGACAGTCTCTCTCTGGGGGATAAATCCATGGTGCACGACCTTGTGGGTGTCAGGAAAAACGAAGAGCACGCTTCTGGTTTCATTTGTCAGTTTAAGTGCTTCTTTCAACAGAAAGCTTTAAAAGATGCGCAGAGACGCAGCCCTCATCAGTGATGAGCCTCCGGTTCGGTTCACACCAACGAGGCAAACTGGATCTGATGACATACATCGCTTCAAAGAAGGAACACACACATGTAAAGGAAGCACTCCAAACGTGCGGCTATCCTAATTGGGCGTTCTTAAAGTCAGCAAAGAGGCACAGAAAAGAAGATCAGACACCAGCGATAAGAAGGACAGACGCAACAACATTGTCATCCCCTATGTAGCCGGTGTATCAGAGAAACTCAG